TGCTCTCTTGCCTGTGCTGACCTCCCAGTCCTGCTGGTTTGGTCTGGGTGAAGCCAGGGTGCAGCACTGCTGGGTGCCACCCAAATGGATAGCTTTTACCCAGGCTTTGAACAGTCTGCAGCTTCTTCTTTGCCCCTTCTTCCTCCTGGGCTGTTACAACAAAACTTGACTTTCTGCAAGGCAGTGCTGTATAAACACTGACCAGTGCTCTCCTGCCACACCAACAGGATTGCTCATGGTGTGAGCTCCTCTATTTTTAAGGCAGAGTTATTAATCAAAACAGTAAATCTATAAATTAGGTTAGCAGTATTGTTTGCATTCAAAATAGGCTGAGTAGGATTATGCTGCACTCATTTATGGTGGTGGGAATATGGTCACAGCAGAAGGGCTGACTGTGTCTTTTCCCTTTTTTACAGACTGGACTTCAGAGATGAAAGAAATTGCATGTTTATTGCAAAAAGGGGTAATTATCACCTCAATCAGTTGTTCTCCTGCCCTGAGGCAAGGTCATGATGTGTGTGCCATCCACACCTGTTTGTGTGGTGTATTTTTAATTACATTTAAGGAAGGGGATGTCATAATCTGCCTCTGTGACAGCTCAGTGCCTCACTGTGCTCCCTGTTACGTGGGCTGTCCCAGTGGCTCCCAGCAATGAGGACTATTGTTCCCTACAGAAGCCTTTTCACCTTTGAAGGTGTCTCAAACGGCTTCATTCAGTCCCCCCTCTCTAGACTAATGCCTACAATTTTCTCCAACTTCTTGCCTAAGCCTTGTTTGTCAGGCCCATGGTCATCCTCACCCCTCTCCTCCAGGTTCCTTCCTCCTCTTGGATTCTGTACAGATACCTCTTGTTTCCAAAACCTGTAGGAAAAAGGTGAAAACTGTAAAGTTTTGACCCTCACGCCTTATTTCCAGGCTGATGATGGCATTGCAATGCTGTTTGCCTTACTTCAGCTTGGTGTGCAGCCTTGCAGGCAGAAGGACCATCTCTGCTAACCAAGCCATGGGGTGTTTCACCCCAAGTCTCTCTCACAGCACTTTCGTTCCAGGTGCTGAATGTAGTGGTTGTGGCTGCAAATCCAAACTCTGATGGGAACAAGGATAGCTCAGCTGTGTTGCACTTAGAGCAAATTATAATCCTGTAATAATGATGACAAAAAAAGGAAAATGAGGATGTTGGCGCTGGCTGCAAACACCTGTTTCTGAGACACCAGCACTGCTGCCCGTGCTGATGCCAGTGCTTGTTGCACTGAAGGGAATTAATACCTCCGTGTCCTGCACCTCCTGAAATGACTCACTTTCTTTCCATCTTGCCCTTTTCCCTCTAGCTCTGAGCTGGAGTCTGATTTCAATGGTGATTCACTGCACTCTGAGGTGAGTGAAGGACTCGTGGAGCCTCCTGCCTGCTCCAGCCCCATCCAGAGGTGGGCATCACTCATCAGGAGCCCTGTGGCATCCGAGGAAAGCTCCAAGACATCCAAAGTTGCTGATGGTAAGCAGCATCCTGAGCTAGGGATGCTCCAGCAGCCTCTCCTAAGGGCCACAGCCAGGGCTGGGGCTGAGGTTTCAAAGTGGAGGTTGTTCCATGCAGCGTGGCCAGGTTGGACCTGTTAACGATGGGTTTGTTTGGGGGTTCTGCCTTCTCAGTGCTGTAACTGCAACAGCATTTCCATGCTGGGGCTAACCTGGAGCCTCATGCTTAGCTTGCAGGAGTAGGATGAATGTTTTCCCACCAGTAAAATATTTGGACGTTATTAGTAGTCAGTGCAGTATCTGTAGCATTGCTTAGGCAGGGGTGATGCTGGGCAGCACTAGAGAGCTCTGCTGCAGTTTGTGTTTTTATTTATCAGCAGCTGTTTAAAATGTTTGTATCCAGTCAAAGCAGGAGAAGGAAAGGCTATACCCAGCAGGGAGTTAGGGAGATGTTTAGGAACAATCTGCCTCCAAATGCAAACTCTTTTCTGGAGCTGGTCTGGACTAAAAGATGTGCTGAAAACAGTCGAAGAAATCGTTTTGCAGAAAATAAAAGGCCACCAGCATTCATTTCTTCCCATCTCCCACCACCCTCACACCCATATCTGTATTTTTAATACAAACAGAAAAGAGGGGATTTCATACAGCAGTTCAAATCAACCCTTGAATAACGAAGCACTTGTTTAGGGCCGAAGGACAACAGACTCCACAGCCTTGGCAGCACCCCAAGCAGTCCCTGAGCCCTTGTTGGGCTCTGCCCTCTCCTGGTTGCTGAGGCTGCTTGGAAAACTGAGCCCTGGGGAGCTCAGCCCGGGGGATTTATCGCTACTTTCCATTTATCCCATCTCCATTTTCCTCTCTGACCCTGTGTCTTTTCTGTTTCTACTCAGCACTCCAAAGAGCCAACAGTTTTCACTCCACGGCGTTAAATAAGTATCAGAACTGGAGGAGAAAACTCCAAATGAGTGAGTAAAGCCTTGAGAAGTTATTGTATCTTCTATTCGTGTTATTTTCTGTTTTCCTGTCACTTAATTGTCTGTTTCCCTTTCTTTCCTTGAAAAGTTTTGTATTTTTGAGTCACTAGATGAGAAAACAGATATAAAAGGCACCAAATATTTCTTTTCCATTTTCTTATCCTCAAAAGTTCAGATTCCCTTTCTGTGTGACTGCTCTCAGTGTAATTCCACCCACCAGCAAGTGCTGTCCACTGTAATTCTTCAGAGCAGAACATGCTCCTCTGTCCCTGAGCTGCATATTTTGCCTCTAGCCCTGCCCACACGGATTGCTTTGCTCAGGAGTGACCCTGGGTCTCCCACAGTGTCAGAAATGCTCCTGGAGGTGATTTTACACCCTCCTGCAGGTGTCTCATGGCATCCATATCAGCCTTGGCTCTGGCTCTGAGAGCTGCAAAACGTTTGGGCATTGGCATATCCATCACAGTTAGACTCCACCAAACGCTTGGGTTTAAAATCTAGCCTTAATCTCAGTTTTTAAAAGGTCAATCAAAAACGAAGCTTATTCCAGGTTTGGTGGAGGGGGTAAGAAAGGCTGTGAGAGAGGAAAGAAGAGAAAACTGGTCAAAAACGAAGCTTATTCCAGGTTTGGGGGAGGGGGTAAGAAAGGCTGTAAGAGAGGAAAGAAGAGAAAACTGCAGGATGGAGAGAATCACTCTTAATTTTGACTCATTTTCAGTTTGTTCTCAGCAAGTGCATTACTTAATCGTTTGCCAATTAATTTTGCCATCGTTTTGTTAAAAACTTCCGTGAGCCTCAAAGGCTCTAGAGGGAGCTAAAAGCCTTTGAGAGGGAAGCAAGGAGCTGCATGAGTCTGCCTGAACCTCCAGTATGCTGCTAAAACGAGGTGTAAGGCTCAGTGCACACTGGGCCTAGAATAGAGGCATTTTTTGCTCTCTGGAGGAACACTGTAAATCATAGTTTGTATATTTAATCCAGTCTGATTGCAGGAGTTCATATGATCATCAGTCACATCAGACATATTTCCCAACACACATATGTTTCATAAACAGCTCAAGGTGCATGGCCAAGGAAAGGAAATCAGTGTCATGGCTCTATTGGCTGAAAGGCTCAGAGCAGGATATTACCTTTAAAAATCTCTAATCTCCATTGCACGGTCCCAGGGAATGCTGTGCTCTGAAATTATCTTGGGATTTTGGGCCAAGCAGATCATGACAATGCCCCAGGGAACTTTTTTTTAATCCTGTTTTGAAAGTGATGCTGCAAATATACCTTCAGTGTCTTGGTGGGGATAAATCCATTATCCCTGTGAAAGGCAGCAAGCTGTGGCTTTGCTCAGAGCAATGATCTTGCATGTCCTTTTAATTGAATGCACACCCACAGAGCTGTAGTGGGAAGGAATTCTCCCCATGGGCATGTGGATTCCCTGCAGAGCCCTGGGCTGGGGCTGTGTGCCCTCACTGCTGTCACTGCTGCAGTGGCTGTGTTTCCCCTCTGTGTGCTGAACCATGACATTTGCTTGTGCCAGGAGGCTCAAGGCTTTAGTGGATCAGGCTAAACCTCCCTGGCTCACTTATGCAGGTGATGGTGGTATTTTTTAAATCCTAATTCTGGATTCTCATGTTTTCCCATGGCTCAATTCACTTTACAGACTCTAAAGGTCACCCCTGGTTGCTGTCCCTGCAGAAGTTCCTTAATGAACTCCTGCACAATTTTTCCCTCTAACCTCAATCAAATATAGCAAGTTGCATCAAGATTGGGTACACATAGGTGAGACACTGAGAGGAAGGGAAATTTGGCCTTTCTCCCTATCTTGCCCTTACTGAAGTCCTCATGCAGGAACTGTCCTCTCTCTTTGGGGTGTTGCTTTTGTTCTTGCACAGCTTTCAATCCCTATGTAGAAAAAACAAGGTTTGCTTTGAGAACCTTTCTGGATTTCAGAACTAATAATTTGGTTTGGGAGTTAATAATCCAGCTATAAATATACTTGTCATGCTATAGCTTGCCATGGCAATATCTTGGCTCAGAGATACTTTTGTTCTGTCCAAAGATTTATTATGTAAAATTCTCACATGCACAAATATTGGAGAGCTCTCCTGACTCCCTTCAGGTGCAAGTTGCCTCCCTACTTTTTCTTCCAGCAGGTCTACATCTGTCTGCTAGTTCTGGTTCAAGGCTTTTAGTAGTTAGTTACTTTGCCTGACTCTAGGAGAGCCTTCAGTCTACTGCCTCTTGGCCTGGCTTGGGAGACCACAGGATTATTTCTGTCCTTACTGCCTGCAGGTGGATGCATTTCCCGTTGCTTTTTTCCTGATCTGACAGAAAGCCCTCTCAGAAGTCATTAATTTTCTTCATTTCTTGGAACTGCCCAAAGTTCAAAACTCACAGGTTGTTCTGCCTGCCTCTCTCTGCTTCTGAGGCCTGAGAGCCCTCTAAAGGGGGTTGGTTTTCCAGAAAGTTTCCTGGAACTCAAGAGCTGCTTCACTGCATCCAGCCAAAAAGTGGAAGCAGTTCAGGTCCACCACTGAAAATACCATCGTGTGTTTGGCACAGTGTGCACACACACATATGTAAGTGAGGCCATAAACTTTAATATTGGCAGTCAGTTGTTCAGGTGCAACTGTATCCAGGTGACTGCTTAGTTTTCTACTTTTATTCCTTAATTAGAAACTTTGTTTAAGATGAAATGAATACCAATGTGATGGTAAAATTTGTGTCTCGGACAGGCTTTCCTCTGCTGTCCAGCAAGAAACCTGGGCTACACTGGAAGGACAGCTCAGGCAGCAGTCAGAGTGGATCTGGAGAGGATCACTCCCAAACACAGGTACAAAGGAGAACTGTGCAGAGATTGAATGTAACTGCTGTTGGAGCATGTCTGCACTGGGCAGGCTGTCTGAGCATCTTCTGCCCTTTCAGAGTTTTGGTCCTCAATAACCACTGAAGTTGTGCTGTACATAGGGAAGCAACTTCGTTGTGCTTTGATATAACCATTCCCAAATCATGCAGCCAAGTCACATTTGCTGTGGGATTCTCCCTTAGACATAGGTGTGTCCATGTCTCATGTTTGTCCCTCACATCTGATGGGCAGAAGGTTTCTTTCTCTGTTTGCAGCAGGCCCTTGGCTCCACACCTCCCAGTGCTCAGGAGCATCCTCTGCTTCCTTCAGGACTGAGGAGTTCCACTGTGCTTTCTGCTTTTTAAAATCCTTGTGTTTTTTTGAAGGCTGAGGAAGGTTGGCCCTGCTGTAAGCACAGCACTGCAGCAGGAGTTGTGAGTGACCATCCTGAGCAAAGGGCAGTGTGTCCCTGGACCAGTCCACATCCTCTGGGTCTTAGCCTGTTGTCCTCACCCTTGGGTTAAACAGGATTAAAATTGCTTGACCTCAGGGCCTGTGTTAGAAAAAAAATTCCCATCTTCCACATCCATGGTGGTAGCTGAAATCCGGTGCAGGACAATGGGGCCAGGAAGGGAAGGTCCCAGGGGAGCAGAGCTGACAATGGCCATGCTGCACTCCAGGAGAGGTGACTACATGCAGCTCCTAGTCTACACACTGTGCTTAGTGGCCTTTTTCTTACCATAAAGAGCAAGGATGAAGAGGGTGTTTGCTTGTATTTTGGTGTTTCGTACATTTTTCTATCCTAGATCCTGGACAATAGCACTTTCAGTCATCAAATGCAACTGTGAAATGGAGAGGAATCATTATTGCCTTCTGATGCTTCTGGGAAATGAAAAGTCAGACAGATTAATAGCTTGACCCATGTGAATTTGGGTATCTGGCACATAAATGGAAACAGGAATTGGATCTTCACACCATCCATTATCACATAGCATTGATGATAAAAAGCTTCCCTTTTAAGAAGGAAAAAAGAACTCCAGTTTTGGTCTGCTGGCCACATAATGCTGGTATTTATCCTTGTAACTATCTTCAGCAGATTTTGGTGACTGGAGCAAAGGATTTAAACCTTTACCAAAGGGAAAATAATCATGAGAGGGAAATAATTGAACTGTTTAAAACTACTGTCCTGCATTGCACAGTCTTTTCTTGGTCACTTCTTTATTCCCAGCTGTGCTATGTAAGCAGACAACACTGTATACCACTTGCAGAGGGTGGAATTGGTCTCTTGTGCTTGCTTCAAACTCTAGGGTGATGCAACTGGAACACACAAGAGAACAGAGCAGATCTGCTCTTGTCTCTTTTCCTGAAAACAGGACTGTTTCTTTCTGAGGAAAATATTAAAGGCAATTCATAAAGATCTGACAGATTCTTAGCCTGAATAACATTATTTCTGGACTATTGAAATTTCCAGTAGTATTAGATCTCCACTCCTAGAGAAATATTAGCCTTTTATGGAGAAGAGCTTTTCTTATTTTATTATCATCCACATATGTATGTGTGCATAAATTAAATATTATGTTTATTAGTATTATGTTAAGATTTAAATGGATTAAAATATTGCATGAAATCAAAGATACACAAAGCAGTACTTTAATGTCCCTAAAACAACTTCTTTTCATGCACTTCACAGTTGGCTACTTACAAGAAACCACCAGAAAATACAAGTGGACATTTCAAAGCTTACAGCCCAGTACTTCAAAGCAAAGGAAAAGGCAGAGAGATGCCTCAGGACATGGACCACTGTGCTCCCCATTGCCCTTCTCAGAGCAGCACTGCAGGCTCTCTACAGATCCCTCCTGACTTTTCTGAGTCCGAAGATACAGACAGTGACTTTGGGACATACTCAACCCAGGACTGGAAGGGAAAAACATGGAAATATATCTCCAAACCAGAAGATGTTAATAGGAAGAAAAAAGTGCTCTCATCTCTGGATTTGAAAGAGAAAGGTGGCAAAAATACCAAGCACTCAGAAGAAAAGCTAGAGCAAGAATTAAAGGAAGCAAACCAGAGGTTGGGGCTTTGTACCCAAGAGCAACACTTGCATTACTCAAGCAGGACAGATGTGGGTGGAAGCAGTCCAGGCTGTCACAGCAGTGGAGCCCTGTGGACTGGAGAGCAGGGTGCTGACTGCCAGAAAGGTGTGTTCAAACGACCTGGTCGTCCTGTGCCTCTCTTACTTGCGGTCGATGCTGCACCAGCTCTGCCAGCTGACACAAAAGATGCTCTGAGGAGTCCAGATGTGGCTGGCAGGGAGCATGCAGCTGGCCAGCCCAAGTCACCACTGAGGCTCATAGCCAGTGCTTTCAAAAGGTCCATTTGGGAGCCTTTAACTTCTACTCCAGAGAGGCTAAAACAGGACTCAGAGAGCAAAGTCAAAGCCTCTTCAGAACGAATTTCCTTCAGCTTCCCCAGCACTCCTGGTCATTCCCTAAGCCAAAGGAACAGCAACAACAACAACACTCAGCAACAGGATCTCAAAGTAAGGGAGTGGTCAGGAGAATATTTAGGTGATGGGAGCCCTTTCCCAAATCCACCTAATTGTTCTGTTGGCCGTGAAGAGATGTCTCCAAGGGATTACAGTGAGGAGGTGTCCTTGACATCCTACAGTCCTCACACCAGGCCTTCCAACACAACCAGTATACCTCAGAAATCTTCTTGCACTAGGATGGAGGATGTGCCAGGACTCCTAGAAAAGTTTACCTTTAAAGACACTCCTCCAGGGGCTCCCATGGATGCCATGTGTATACGCAAGGAAAAGTCCAATCTTCTTTCTTCTCCAGAGCCCAAGAACACCTCCAAGGGCAATCTGGAAGACTCTGCACAAAAAGGTAGTTTTGGCTTGCTTTTCAATAGACTGAGAAGTGAAACTCATGAAAGAGAAAAGGATTCCTTGATGTCATCTCTGCTTGTCCCAAAGGACCATTCTCCAGAAAATAGGCTGTGTTATCCTTCCACAGGTGAGGACATGAGTGGAATTATTTCATTACTGTTATAATTACTATATATAATAGCACTTAACTTCTGGTTTGAGGGCTTTTCTGGGTTGTTTTCTCTGTTTTTAAAGTTTTTTGGACTGTAGTGTGGGTGGGTTTGTGGTTGGGGTTTTTTTGTTGTTATTCATTGGGTTTGGTTTTGTTGGTTTTTTTTTCTAAAAAAGAATTTTTGAATGTGGTATTTTTCTCTTGCTTTGCATAAAGCACATTCACTCAGTGAGGTCATGTCTTACTATGCTTGTTATAGTTGTCTTGAAGTTGAATTTTGCATCTGGGGTACAGTTATAGTTGTCTTGAAGTTGAAATTTGCATCTGGGGTACACTTTAGAGCATATTTCTGGCCTCTCTCACAAAGAAATAGCCAAAGAAAAATAGTTGAGCAGAGCTCTCAGCACTCACCCTTTTAATGGTTACTGCAATGCATTGGTCCCACTGTTTCTATATCCATGAAAAATGGCAGGACCACACATCTGGAAGCCAAAATCCTGTACTCTTACCCCAATCCTGTCACTCTTTGTCCTGTGTTTCTGGGCACCTCATGCTTCAGTGATCCCAGGAATATTAGCAGAGAACATCAGTGCTGTGAAATGTATGTGCAGTAACTGGACAGAGACCATAACTCAACATGCACAGGTAGATCCACCAGTGCCTCATCACTGAGTAGCTCATGTTCCTTCATCCTGCAGCATTGTTAGGTGTTGCTGATAGCAGCTGGGTAGATCTTGGCCAACAGGGATTTAGGTACTATGTCCTGTGGAAGGCTGAACTGTCTTGCAGCAATCTAAAATGGCTTAGCTTTTTTCAGAGTAAGGTGCAAACACCTGACTCTTCGCAGCAGACAGGCCCTGGAAGGATTGGGGACATTATGAATCTATTCCATGAGCAAGCATCATCTTCCTTGTGCTCATGGGATGCCCCTTAGAAGTCCTTGGGGAGGTGACTGATGCTCCCTCTGTCCCAGAGATCCCCAGTCACACCCCAAGGAGGAGGCAGTGCCCTGGGTTAGAGCAGGAGGAGGCAGTGCCCTGGGTTAGAGCAGGCTGCTCTTCCTCCAGCCCTGCTAACACTTCTTAAATTATTGATGCTTCTCAACGGGGAGGACATGGGGAAGCATCACTTATCCCAGCACAGCTGAGAGAAGAAAGGGAGCGTGTAATTGCTTGTGCTTCCAGCCCTGCTGGGCTGGGAGGTTTGCCCTTTGCATACTGTGGAATTTGATTTCTCCAGTGACATAACCACAGGGCAGTACTGCAAACCTCTGATGGCACAGGGAAAATTTACTCCTCAAAAGCAGTAGTGACTGATGTCTGCCACACCTGGGAAGGGCTGTATGTCAGATCATCCTGGGACTTTGGGGTCTGGACCCCAAACAGAAGGGCAGGACCCAGGTCTGCCCCACTGAGCCCTCTGAGCTTGCAGCTTCATTGAGCACAGGGACTGGGATTGCTGAGGAAAACTGGAATTTCTGCCTCCAATGGCTTGGATTTGCTTTTATTGCTTTCCATTTACACTGGGAGAATGGGAAGTGGTTTTAATCTGGATAGAACTTGCCCCTGGAAAGCCAAATGTTACCTCTGATGGACACTGAAAACCCAGCACTGTGAGCTTGAAGCAGTGTCCAGGGCCAGCACGGCCAGCTGCTCAGCATTAACCCTGCAGCAAGTTGAAGCACAGGGACAGATGTTCCAAAAGTGGTTTTATTTTCTGAAATAAAGAGAATGAAGCTATGCCTTAGAAAAATTAAGAAGAAATTCAAATATTTACACCCAGTTGAAACAATATGCTGGAAAAACAGGCACGGTAAAATTGCTGCAATTAAATGTAATTTAATTTATAATTTTGAAAGCATGTTTCTTCCAAAGGAGCCTGCGAGTTTTCCTCATGGAGTGTATTGTTGTGATGTATGGATTTTCCCGAGTTCTTATGGCATTTTAATCAACAACCCAGTGATGTGATAATATTCCTAAAGCAGAAAAATAAGTGACGTTTGTTTAGACATAATTAATGAAATATTTATGTTGCACGAGGCTGTGTGATAAAGCCTTGTTCTCCTAGTCCATTTGCTTCTGATTACATTTGTGATTTTTTTATATGACCAGACATTCTGACGCCAACTATTTTACACTGAGCAGATGTCATGTAGTAAAAATGGGTGCCAGATGCTACAAGCCACATAAGGGTAATTTGTTTAAGAGCTGGCTCAGACTTTGTGCATTCAATTACACTGTACAGTGAGCCCCACACAACCATTTGAGGAGCATGGCTAACTGCAGCTATATGGTTTAATGACCACTGAGTGTGTTCAGAGCAGCAAGCACACACAGGGTGCTCAAGGAATTAATTTATTTGTGTGTAGTACCTAAAAATATAAATCTACCCAGACAGAGTTTTTGACAGGGATCAAAAATGTAATTAATTCTGCCAGCTGAATTTCCAAATTGCTCTAGGTGCTGCTGATTAGAACCCAGGACAGGTGCAGAGTGTCTGTTTAAGTTAAAGAACAATATTTTTTGCTTCACTGACTATTTTGTTCCTGCGTTTTAGGACGTGAACACCTACCTGTCAGGAAACAAGCTACTGAGTATTCTACTTCATCCTCTGATGATGAATTGGAATCCAAGTCTTCATTAACACACAAGGTAACCTTGACTTGGAAACAAAAAGGTGTTTCTTTAGTTGGACTGAGTTTGAGATTCATCATACGATATTGATCTAAAACACACAGCAATTTCTCAGAGTGGGGATTGGAAGGTTTTCTCAGTGCAGGTTGTGTGTCATGGAGAGAAAATACATTAAAACTCTTCAAGACAGATGAACATTGAAATTTCTTTTTCCTTTTTGGCTCTTTGGTTTCACCAGGTCTGACAGAGAGGGTCTTAACAAACACACATGTTTCACTGGAACCACTTTGAAGCTGCAGCCTTAAGTGGCCTTAATATGTAGCCCAACAAGCAAACCATTGAAAAAATTAAACCAAACAGATGCAGACTTCCTTTGGGGAAATGCAGCTTCATTTGAGAAGCTCTACAGGCAGGTTGCTTGGAAAACACTCTGTTTATCCTAATCAGCACAAGTGCCTGAGCCTCTGAGCTGCTCCCAGAGCCTGTGCCCAAAGGGTCAGCAGTGTCCTGGGGTCCCAAGCCCTCGCTTGGTTCTGGGGCCTGCAGGAGCCACAGGGTTAAAGCAGAGTGAACTCTTGATGCCCAGCTCTGATGTGAGGAAACAGAGCTTTTTATTGCCTGAATAGCTCATCAGAAATGTGTTTATCTCTTTCCCATGGAGGATATCAGAAGTGGAATTAATAGTATGAGGTGGCCTTTTGATTTGTTGCCTTTGTGGGGAGAAGAGGAAGGAAAGCAAAGTACAGTGCACTGAGGAATCAGCCAAGCTGAAAGCTAAGTAGGATTTCAAATGGCAACCCAGTGGTGCAGCTCCAGAGGAGCTGAAGTGCCACGAGGCAGAAGCACAGCAATGTGTGGCAATATATCTCACTGGTGGCTCTGTGTCAGGCTGTGCTGAGATGTCAGAATTCTTTACTCATCTCTCCTGTTACAGGAAAGACAATCTATATTAGGATGATGTTACGGTGAATTCAATAAGCTTTGAACAAAATCAAGGAGAGAAGGGAGAAAACTGGGTGGGAGCAGCCCCTGCCAGGTCAGGCAGGACTGGGCAGAGCTTGGGGAGCTGTAGAAATGGGGTAAATGAGCAGCTGTCACACACAGGCGTGAGCTGTGCCTCAGTTTGAATGCACCCAGTTCCCCACTCAGCATGTTTCTTTCAGCCTAAGCCCCTTTTGGTGCCAGTTCTAGCTGCTGTTTTGCTGGTACCACTGTTTGTAACTGGCAAAACTTGGTGGGAAAAATTTTAGTGCCTTCCTGGCTGGTTAATTTTTTAATCGTCTTGTCTATAGTGTTCATACATTCTGTCCTCTCCAAAATGGGAACACCACAGCCTTGAAGAACTTCAGGACAGCTTGGGTTAATGGCAAGGCAGAGCAATGGCAAACAGGTTTTATTGATAGACACTGTTTAACTCAGGTTAAAGAGTCTCCAGAGATCTGTCCCAGCCTCAGTGGCTCTGTGAATCTGTGGAAGGTTTGAGGAACCTGTAATGGCATACTTAGGCTTTGATTGCCTTTTTTTTTCTCTCTGTCTGTTTCATAGGCCAAAAGGGCTCTCAGAAGGAGGAGGAAGCTGGAGAAGGAGACAAAGCAACTGATTAAACAAGAGGAGCTGAAGAGGCTTCACAAAGCACAGGTGAAATTGTAGCTCACAGATGTTCCCTTTGTCTCCCAAGAGCGACTAGTGAGGATAGTTAGGGGTACCCAGTGT